TTTAAGCAAGAGGATAGCTATGGAAGCACATTCACTGTGTTCTCTTCAGACCACCCATCCAGAGTTTATCTCTGTTTTGTGAATTTGCTGCAGAAGTTGGATATACATAGCATTGACTGCCTGGTGCTGTGACTTCATACTCATGCTTCCCATGCAGCCAAGCAGCTTTGAACACATTTTGATGAATGGACTTTACTTTCAAGTTCAGGTGAGGAATCATGCAGACTTCAAGATATTGCTGAACAGCCATTCCCAGGATTCCTCACTGTTAGCTAGGGCTGCTAGTAGTTGTATAGCTCCACAATCTCGAGGTTTGCATGATCCCTGTATTAAACCCATCCCTGTATTAAACCAAGGAAAGCAAATGAAAGGTACCAAACAGTGGCAGCTAGTGACTTCCGTATTAGCGAGTGAGTGAGTGAGTGAATTCACCCTGGGATTTAGTCCAGATCTTTAAAAGAGTCATCCACAATGTTGAACTATATCCCTGAAATAGGCTTGGTACCTTGATTAGCTTTTGTGAAATCCATACTGTAACTGGAACAAATTGACAGTCCCACTGACACGGGAGCCAGCCTTGGCACCAAATAAATGCTTAAACAAACACAACCTATGTGCATCAATTTGTTGAAAAATAAAATAAAGGGGAATTGCCTGGCTGAAGCATGTCAGGAAGCCAAGATTGACAACTAAACCAATTTTCAGTTCAGCACTATGCCTGGCTGTTATTCACACTGAATGAAAGAATAAGCAGAAGACAAATTCCTGTGACTCTGATACTGCATCTCTACAATCCATAATTCTCAGGGCTAACCAGATATATTTTGCTGTCCAGGGTAAAGGACAAGATAGTGTCCTTCCTTTCCCATTGTACTTTCAGATTCTGACAAGTAGTAGCTGAATCTGGTTGTTGAATCTTATTTCAGCTTCCTGGTAGCTCAGTTTTGAGAGTCGGCATGACATAGTGCTTTTAATGTTGGACTATGGCTCTGGGGACCAAGGTTTGATTCCTAGCTTGGCCATGAAACCCACTGGGCGACCTTGGGCAAGTCACATGCTCTCAGACTAAGGAGAAGGCACTGGCAAACAAATCTTGCAAAGAAAACCCCGTGATAGGCTCACCTCAGGATAACCATAAGGCGGTAATGACTTGAAGGTACACAACAACAACAGCAAGAGTTGAATTTTTTTCCAGCACTGCCAAACGAACAGCATGTTCCATCACACTTGGGGGGGGGGGGAACAAGCTGGCCTAAGGGGTACAGGTCTGCTGCATGACACACACAATTCTGTCTTCCCAACACTTCCACCACTCCCAGCCTTCAGTATCCACTGCCTGGTAGGGCTCACCCTGCTGGTTTTCATCACAAAGATGCCCTCTCTCCACCATTACACACTGTTGAAGACTTTTCTGCTTTCCGTATGCTGTATTCATTCATTTACTGTGCAACAGCTTGTTCTGCCCTAGTTTCCAAAGCAACGGTGTTCTAGTAAACTGATCATAACGGCTTTCTTTTTGGAAAGCTTAAGGATGTCTTAACAGAATGTTTAAGCCCCAAATGGATCTGGTTGTACTTATTATAGATAAGCAACAACTCAAACACGTCCAGCAGCACTTACTAACAAGACACAAGCAGATGGGAGGAAAGTAATGTGCTGTTATTTTTGTGTCCACATTTGTACATTTATGTGCATTTACAGCAAAAGTCAAGATTCCTCACTCAGATATTTAACTCTTGAAGGTCTTGAGAAGGGGACTGAAGCCTGTATAGCATACATACATGTACATATGATTTCATTAACATAATCCCTAATATTACCTGCCACCCCAAAGATAATAGGCATGAGACACAAACTAGCCTAAGACAGCTCACAGAAAGTAGGAACTGCCCAGGAAATTGGGAACAGTTGGTAGCTATGCAGGAGACGGAGTAAAATGATGGCATTTCTCCCTCAAATGTGAATTCCCCTATGAAATTTCCCTTTATTCCTCAAATTTCTACATTGCAGAAAGTGAGACACTGAGAATTGTTAACACCTAGAACTCTTATTTGCCGTGTTTACATTCCCTTGGCAACTTTGCCTGCCCCTTTTCTTTGGATGCCTAAACTGTATTTCTAAATGTCCAAGTGAAGTTTTAAGTTGCTGCAATGCTGGAAATATGGGCACTAAAGGAAAATTTCACTGGGAAATGGAATTATTATTTGGTAGTATAATGTTCTCATCCTCTCCCTACCAGTAGCTACATCCCTGGTATGATGAGAAACTGATCTCTGGACAGGAATGTAAAATTGGACCTTAGAACCTCCTCACTTCCAGTTCACCTGTTGGCACTTTTAATTTATGAAGCCATTTGCTTCCCAAAGAACCAAGATGGAGCCATCTGCAGCCTTCTAGAACATGCACTCTTTCTTTAACACAGAAACATGCATGCTCTTGATCCCAGAGGGCTCTACAGCACCTTTTCAACCTCCTCCAGAACTCCAGCAGGCTACACTGCACTGCAGCAGTTTTCATTGCATCAACCGAAGGTGACATTGTCACTCCTAGTTGTCTGTCATTCCTTTTGTGTGTGTGTGTGTGTGTGTGTGTGTGTGTGTGTGTGTGTGTGTGTGGTGCTTTTTCAAGGTATCCCCTTAAAAGCAGGATTTCAAGGGATTTTTTTTCTTCTTCAACAAAATGGTGCATTTTCACCCAAAAAAATGGGGCTGTAAGGGTGGATTGTGCAGTTCCCACCCCTGCTTTAACATAGTACAGAACCCTGTGTCTTGTCTCCTAGATCTCCTCCTATGGTCAAACCTTCTCTAGCCCATAAAACTCCACTTTGTCCAGCAAACCTAGAAAACTCTGGATTAAAGTATTCTGTTGTTTTAAACCACCTTGGCTTTCTTTTTTTGTATGTCCATCTCTTTCCCCCTCATATTCCTCTAAGACTCCACATGATCCAACTCTCCTCATTTGGCATGGACAGTCCTAATTCATCCTTTCTCTTCCCACATTTTCAGCTGCTAATATGAAGTCCCAGTTTCTCTCTTTTCCTCCCATTTCCCCTTTCATCCTCAGCTTTCTTCAGTTGCTGCAAACTGTGTTCACTGTGCAAAAGTAGTTTGTAGTCAGTTGACTGCAAACTTCCCTGTAGACTCAGAAAAAAGCAAAGCACTGCAACCTCTCCTAACTTGTCTTTTCTATCACAGTAATTTTTGCCATCTTGACCATATTCTGATGTTGCCTGGCTGTGTGTCCCAGTTTTCATCTATGAAATGTTGGAGGCTCACTGAGGACCTTTGTAAGCAGTGGGGAGTGTGTTCTCTAAATGGACTTGAAACCAATCTTTGCTATCTTTAATACAGGAATAAGCAAAATCTTGGGGAGCTACACTAGTCACACCACCTTTGCCTACTACTGCCCCCTTTACTTCCCAAAATTCACTAGTAATCATGATGATTTTCTGTGGTTCATGGGGGGGGGAGTTGCAGACTGCCAGAAATAGTGCAAATTGAGTCCACTTTAAGGGTTAGGGTTAGGGAATCATGGGAACTGTATTTTATTGTGGCACCAGAGCTCTCTGACAGAGAAGGCTCAATGTCTCAGAAAAAAAACAATTCCCATGATTTCCTAGCACTAACCCTAACCCTTAAAGTGGACTCAATTTGCACTATTTCTGGCAGTCTGCAACCCCCCAAGGAGTCTAAACCATTCCCCTGCACCACAGGAGCCACAGGATAGATGTTTGTGTGTACATGCTTTCAAGTCACTGTCGACCTATGGCAACCCCTTGAATTTCATAGTGTTTTCTTAGGCAAGGAATACTCAAAGGTGGTTTTGCCAGTTCCTTCCTCTGAGATATAGCTGGTATTCATTGGAGGTATCCCACCCAAGTATTAACCAGGTCTGGCCCTGCTTGGCTTTCAAAATCAGATGGGATCTGGTGCTTTTAGGATATTTAGATGTTACCACAGGATAGATACAGTTGTGATTTCAATTCTTTGGTGACTAATTTTTCAGGGGTTCGTGGAGGGCTTCAAAAATGTGGTGATGGGGCTTCACAGCTTCTGGACCACATTTTCCCCATGTCCCGCTTTACTATATTGATACCAACATTGCCCTGTTCGTTAAAATTATTTCTTTAATACTATATAGATTATATTACTTTTTCCAGATGTAGCTATAAGGGATGTGAAGATTTCCTCTTCTTTTTAATGAAGCCTTTAATTAAACAAACATGGTATCAGGACCTTTTAGGTTCAGAGAGCGTTGAGTACAAGAGAGATGAACAGATGTTCCCTATGATCTCTGGATTATTTATTTAATTTTTGTGCTGAAAAATAAACTTGAAGGAGATTGGCTGATAGAGAAAGATGAGCTGTTCTGCAGATCCAAACATAATTTGAACTTGCACATTGACAATGAGGCCTATTGTGGGCCTGCAGGCTCTTTCAAGTCCTGTCTCTTAGAATATCCCCCGTGATAAATCAATGTGAGTCCCAATTAATATTTTTCCTCTTATTCACCATCAAAAGTGAGCTCAGTGATGAAACATGGAGCAGTAGAGCCTTTGTGATGATTTCACAGAGGATGCTGGGCCTTCATCTCTCAGATCATACAGTGCAGCTATTTCTTTCTGCCTTTGCTATGTGAACCACTTTCCCTGCTATAAAATGTTAGAGAACATAGTCTTGCACACATAAGAAAGCAATCGGTAGCATGTGCTGAATAGGTATTATAGGAAAAGTCAAAGATAATATTGGCCAATGTCTTCAGAACAGCCTGTCCCCAGAATCCCTTTCACACAACCATTATTGTGTTCGCCCAACAGCCTGACCAAATTGAGCCGTTGTTGTTGTTGTTGTTGTTGTGTGACTTCAAGTAGTTTCCAACTTATGGCAACCTTAAGGCAAACCTATCATGGGGTTTTCTTGGCAAGATTTGTTCAGAGGAGGTTTGTCATTGCCTTCCCCTGAGGCTGAGAGCATGTGACTTGACCAAAGTCACTCAGTGGGTTTCATGGCCGAGCTGGGAATTGAACCCTGGTCTCCAGAGTCCAGCACACAAACCACTATGCCACATGAAATATTTTCACTAGGATAAAAATATTTAGTAGGCACCCCTCCTGCTGGGAGATGGAAGAATCAAAGGAGATGAAGGCTCTCAAATTCATCTCCTAACTTTCACTTGTCTCTTCTTTCAACCCACTAGAACCCAAGCCCATCTCCCAAAATGTTCCCCACCTTCTCAGTAGAAAAAATAAATAATCATGCTTCGTATCCTTCCCCTCCCACAAAGAACACCCCATTCCCTGTCCCAATTTGACAAGGGTCGCATCGGGGTCCATTCCCAGCCACTTTGGGAACAAGCCCAGCAACCACCAAAAAAGAGAGAGAAGGCTTCCATTCATGCCAAGACTGTACCCATTCATGGCTGAAACAATGGCTCCTCTGTTTCCTTGGCCCCATTTGGGGTGGCTTGGGGGTGCAAGGGAAGGACTGCTTAAAGAGACCCTGCCCCACAACACAACCATTCCAAATCCTTCCCAACAGCAAAGAGCCCCAACAATGGAGACGGGATCGGCCCATGGCGTGAAGCACAAAAGGCGTTGCCAAGGGGTTGTTAAGTGTGGGCTTCAGACTCAGTGCTGGGCCCTGGGCTTTACATACAAGCGACACCATTTATGCTAATGGCACTTTGTTACCCACACCTTGCCAGGGACGTTCCATGCTTGTTACCCTCCTGAGTGACAGCCTGGGGTTAGGGTTCAAGAGAGGGCGAGGTGAGGAGATTTGTTATTGGGTTGCCAGACACAATACAAGGCAGGGCTCCAGCCGTCTTCAACAGTTGTGTAGAAAGAGAGAACTTTAGCAGGTGCATCTATTTCCCCAACAATAGAAGTCAACATTCTGCCCTTAATGCAAGCATTAATGAAAGAATATATTTACATCTATATCTATATCGGGTGGAGTATTAAGTCAGAGTTTGAGCAGTTTTAAATACATAATACTGTACAGTGGGCCTTTGCTTAGGCTAGGGTTTGGTTCCAGGACCTCCCATGAATACCGAAATCAGTGGATATTCAAGTCCCATTAAATACAATGGATAATAAAATGTTGTCCCTTATATAAAATGACAAAATCAAGGTTTGCTTTTCAGAATGTAGATATTGTTAGAATATGTTCAAGCTGTGGATGCTTGAATCCATGGAGAAGGAATCTGTGGATACAGAGGGCCGATTGTATTAATTTTTTTAAAAAAACAAACCCATAAATTCAGGACAAGAAAAACATTTAAAAACCAACAATGACGACAAAACATAAAATCTACAAATAAACATTTCTATATGCAACCAACGCATATAGATATACATATTTGCACACACACACCCTTAGCTTCCCTTTTTAAAACAGACTTCCCATTTCATTCAACTTTTACCTCTTCAGTTTCTGGTTTTGCCTACTGCTCCTGTTTGTTTATAGTTGTTTCAATTATTCTATTTTATTTTACGATTTAGGTATGATTTTTAATGGATGTTTAGTTTATTACTTTTTAATGGGCATGGGTGGGGTTTTGGGGTTTTTAGTCTGTATCTGATGTAATTTTACACCCCGCCTCGATTGTTTTTAATAGAGAGGTGGGGTATAAATAAAAATTATTATTATTATTATTATTATTATTATTATTATTATTATTATTATATTTTCTTTTGGTATGAACTATGTACCATTATTTTACTACATATGCCAGGGGTAGGCAACCTAAGGCCCGGGGGCCGGATGCGCCCCCCCGAGGCCTTTGGACCGGCCCCAGGCCGATCCTGCCGCCGCCGCCGCCCCCCACCGCTGCTGCCCCCCACCATGATGATATTGATTATTGTTGTTATTACTTGTTCTTGGGGTTTTCTTGGCAAAATCTCCACAGCGGTTTTGCCATGGCTTTTCTGGGGCTGAGAGAGTGTGCATGCATATTTTTTTAATTTTTTTAATATATATATATATATATTGGTGCTTCGGCCCCCCAATTGTCTGAGGGACAGCAACCCGGCCCCTGGCTCAAAAAGGTTGCCTATCCCTGGCATATGCTATATATTCATGAAACATGCACTATACATCAGTATTGAGAGTCGGTGTGGCATAGTGGTTTGAGTGTGACTCTGGAGTAGGGATAAGCTTAAACCGCCCTGTTTCTATTATGTCTCCCATTACTCCCATTACTATATTGGTGTAATTTTAACTGTTGTAAGCTGCCCCAATTGTTTGACAGAGGGGCAGGGTATAAATTATTATTATTATTATTATTATTATTATTATTATTATTATTCAATCTGATAACTTTCCATGGGTGCTTTTCATTTTAAAATAAATCTGGAGAATGTATTATTGACATTAACTCTCCCATGTGTTGATTTGGGGCAGAAAGGTCTTAAAGGAAAAAAGTCTTCTTATTCCCCTCTTGATTGTGTACACAATCTAGAGGTTGGCGTGAGTTGAGGGGTTATCTTAGGATAACTAACTGTGCTTACATACAAACAGAACTCAGAATGGCATCTGAAAAGCAAAAGATATTTTAGATTCACATCCAAATCCAAAACCATTTACACAGAAATATTTATTTCAGTTAAAATTTAATGTAACATTGAATTTGGGGCTTCCAAGTATGTGGTTTAGCACTGTCATCCTGGTCTATTGGGCGGCTGACCTACGGTGCAGATTTTGGACTAGAGCTCTCAGACTCTCCAGCTAACCTGGAAAATTGTAGTCCAGTGGGAAAAAAAATGTGTTTTTTCCAAGTTTATTGGGATGAAGCAGATCAAATAAGCCTCATTATAGCACATAACCTGCACTCTTTTAAAAAAAACAAACTTCTGGAGCTTAGCTCAGAGTCAAAGTCATCACAAGGAGCTAAAGGCAAATTAAGGGGTTCCTTTCTAGTTTGTGGATGTTCTTTTCTTTTCTTTTCTATGTGGGGACATTCAATCCTGGTACACCCCCTGCCTTGAGACTGAAGTGACAGAATCTGTGCTCCCACCTCAGGATTTATTGACCTCACACAATAGCATTTATAACCCAGGTCTTGACCTTGTCCTTTGCTTGATTTAGTCCTCCGAGATTCTCAGGGTGGTGAATTCTGTGTCTAATGCCAAATTCTTCACTTGCATGAAATACGCTGCTTGAAATATATCGTCTACACTTGCTAGGGTTGACAGGAATTATAGTCTGACATCTCTCAAGGGCACCAGTTTGAGGAAGACTGGTTTAAGGCTATAAAAATTATGACCAATTCTTTGAACTGCCCTCAGAAATGGGCTAAAACTAGTGATGTTGACATAACAATTACAGTTGTATGACCCAAATTACTGGCTCTAGTCATAGCATTTTGTACCATGAGAAATTTCCCTCTGAACATTACTAAATCCCTTTTGTTAGCTGATTATTTGGTAGATGCTTGCTGCTTCACATAGCATGGATGCTCAGCACATGTTAAATAGCAGTAAAAGCCATTCGATAACTAGGCCAGAACTACAATATTCTCTGCTGGCTCCTTTACTGTTAAGAGAGCCTTTTCATTTCTTGTTAATGGATCAGTACAGA